CAGATTTCTTTTCAGGTGGGGAGGGGGAGTAAAACTCCTTAGCATCAGAGTGTGTTAATAATAATATACAAAATACTAATGCTCTGATGGTCATTTCCAAAAATCCTTTCTTAGCGAGCACCTAGAAGCCAAGAGGAACATACATGCCAAATTTCAAGTTTGTAGGCTTTACGGTTCTGGAGATTTTGTGATGATGCGTGAGGGGTATTTCGCTTTTATATTATATATATAGATTGGAAGGCATTAAGAACCAAGCATTAGGAACCAGGGTTTCCAAAAAGCTTTGAGCATTGTATTAAACAGGATGGAAAATACTTGATACTGTATATATAGAAAAACTTTGCAAAATTGAGGTTCGGCGCCCCTTACAATTCCGGAGGGATTTTGTGATAGCAAAAGTATGGTCGCTATGGTTACCCACGATTTGCTTTTCTTTTGAAGGTCCCTCATTTGAACTCAAATAGTTGAATTTGAGAAACATCTTGAATTCTGTGTTGATGAGAGAATCGGGCTTGTTGCTCTTGCTAAATTCAATGTTTTTTGGGTGGAGAACTAGTACAGGAAACAGAATGATGTTCCTAGTGAAGGCAAGTACCTTTTATCAACCTACACATTACATTGGCATGTCCCAAGACAGGAAGCCCAACCTGGCCGCACAGAAATCTCTTGTAGCTAGGAGGGGAGGCACAATGTCAAACATAGGAAGTGCCTTCCCTCAGCTCAGCAGATGGCTGGTTGACCTATTGAATCCATTGGGGGGAAAAAAAAACCCTCAGAGTTCATATCACTAATTACGTTATTTTAAAAAAAACCAAACGTAAAATATCAGCCTCTTAACCCAGGACTTTCTAGGCCTAGCGGTCGTATCCTCTGCCCGTGTGCGGGTGGACATGTTTGGAATGTTTAGATTCTGTGGCGAGGACACAAACCCTGCAACCTGCCTATTCATAATTCTGCAGATACAGTGGATTCGGCAGCTATGAAGCGCGCTCATTTATGAAAGCAGAGTGGTGACGTTAACATAGAAGGTAGAATAATAGGGTTGGAACTTGAAGGGGTCTCCTGTCCAATCCCCTGCTCGAGCAAGAGATGGCTGCCCACCTGTTCTCGAAAACCTCCATGATGGAGCACCCACAATTTCCAGAGGCAAGCCGTTCCACGGATTAATTGTTCTCCCTGTCAGGAAATTTCTCCTTAGTTCTAGATTGGATCTCTCTTGGATAATCTTCCACTTATTATTCTTGTCCTGCCCCCAGGAGCTTTGGAGAAGACGTCAACCCCCCTCTTCTCTGTGACAGATAACTATCCTATCACTTCTCTTCGATAGACATAACTAGTTCTCTCAATCATTGATCATATGATTTATATTATAGCCTATGGTTGCTTCAAAGGGGACGTGGTGGCTCAGTGGCTAAGATGCTGAGCTTGTCGATCAAAAAGGGCGGCAGTTCGGCAGTTCAAATCCCTAGCTCCGCGTAACGGAGTGAGCTCCCATTACTCGCCCCTGCTTCTGCCAACCTAGCCGTTTGAAAGCACGTACAAATGCACGTAGAAAAATAGGTAACAGGGTTCTGTGTGCCTTTGGTGTTTAGTCATACCAGCCACATGACCCTGGAGATGTCTTCGGACAGCGCTGGCTCTTTGGCTTTGTTTTTTTTTAAAACAAAAAACAAAAATACAAATCTATTCATATTAACAGTATTCGTGTCGTTATTAATACATACATCTCCTTTTATACATAAACATCAGCTCTTATTTCTATCCTACACCCATTTGCACCACCTATCCCAAATCGCATAATAGTCTGAGCCATCTTTGCCTCTTAATTCCATTGTGAATTTATCCAGTTCCGCACAATCCATTATTTTTTGTCTCAAGTCTTCTTCAGATGGTATCTTTTCTTTCTTCCATCCCTGTGCGAAGGCTATTTTCACCGCAGTTATGATAATGTATAATGATGTATTGGATGACCTTGTTCAATTTTCCCTTAATTATTCCTAATAAGAATATTTCCGGTTCGAGTTCTAATTTGTGATCTGTAATTTCTAATAACCATCTTTGTACCCTCATCCAATATTTTTTAACCTCTGGACACTGCCACCACATATGGAAGAATGTTCCTTCTTTATATTTACACTTCCAACATTCTGCTTTTGTGTTTGGATACATTTTGGCCAGTCTTGCTGGGGCTAGGTGCCACCTACGAAACATTTTATATTGGCTCTTTGGCTTTGTAACAGAGATGAGCACCACACCTTAGAGTTGGGAACGACAAGCACATATGTGCACGGGGATCCTTTACCTTTACTGTGGTTACTTCTTTCTACCCAATGGTCTATAAGATATTTTTTTTCTTTATGTTTCATCGAAGCAAATTAAAAGTAAAGAAAAAATGAGTAAATTTCTGGTGTGTTGTGTGTGCTCTTGTTCTTATTCTATAAGAGGACTGCTAAGGCTGGTTAGAACAGAAGGGATGAAAGACCCTAGGAAGGAAAACCCCTTTCTCAAACCCCTTTCAACACACTCCAAAAAATATTTGACATTAGATAAGCACTTAGCAATTTTCCCATTTTCACCCACTTAGGAATAGCCAAGATACAAATAACTATCAAACCGTTCTGTGTGCCCAAAGAGGTTGTTGACATATTTTTTATTGAAAAGTATTAGCCTGTTCTACCCTATAACAAAACTATTTTTATGTACACTGAGAGCATGTGCACCAAGACAAATTCCTTGTGTGTCCAATCACACTTGGCCAATAAAGGATTCATCACCATCATTTTTAGAAACTGAAGACAGCTTCAGAAACAATTTGCAGAATGCCTCAAGACCAGGAGAGGAAATTTCCTAAGGGATGGGCAAACTATTGGACTTGTCTAAATAACTTTTTCGATTCTGCCCAATGTTGGCAGTTTTGTTCTTATCATTTAATTTCTCCTCCAGCATCACAAGGAGGCAAGAAGAGACAATGAAATGAATAGGATATGTCTTGAAGATTCCCTTTTTTCATCAGTGTTTCAGAAGAGGAAACATGTGAGTTGCTGCCTGTCTGCCTTCCAGCTAGGTGCGCATATTTACAGAAAACATCTATAATTCAAATTTTGGAATATATTTCTTTTGTTGAGAAACCCAAAGAAAAATGAAGTCAGATGACCTTGGATCTTCCAAAGAGACCATAAGCATTCCCTGGTGTGCATTCCTGCTTAGTATTTGCTGAAGTATAGATATCAGTTCATTCATTCATTCATTCCTTCATTCATTCAATTTGTATGGATGTCCATCTGCCAAATGACTCTTTTCATTTGGGAAATTAATGTATTCCCTGACTTTAATTTTAAATGGCTACTGAACTTCTTTTAAATTGCAAAAGCTCAACTGAATGTTTGTTGATTTCCATTCAAATGGAATCTCTGTACAGATTTCAACAGAAGCAAAACAATTTTTCCAAGACTAGTGAATTTTTTTCAAGAAAAGTGGTCATTGAGCACTTTTTTTAAAAAAATAGTAAGGGAAGTTATTACTCAGGTTGGGCTTCCAGATGAGATCAATAGACCAACCCAAATCAAGGCTGCCATCCTGACATCGGTTAGCATTCCATTCTTTTATTATTCTTTTCTCTCTTAATTAAAAGAAAAACCTGGAACATCTGCATTAATTTGTTGAGGACACTCTTTCTCATTTTTGCTCAGTTTTCATTCATTGACACACCTACACACTAAATATTTTTGATAAGAACGTATAAGTAAATACATAACATGTATAAAAGGCTTTAAGGTATTGGCAGTGTTTATTAGTGGAATCCTTGCCTTGTTGCTTGTGTCATTGTCATTTTTATCTCAATTACATAGTTTATGGATGTCTATTTCTATACTGTGTTCTGAGTTCTTTTATAGGACTCTCTGTAACAACTGGTTTTATTTATCTTAATATCTAATGGGCTTATGTTGTTATTTTTACATGATTCAGTAAATAAATATTGTCTGAAGGTATCAGTTGTAATTTTTAATATGGTAAATATCTCTTGAGATGATAGATAGGTAGGTAGGTAGGTAGATGGATGGATAGATGATAGGTGGGTAGGTAGGTGGATAGATCATAGATAGATAGAT